TTTTTTTTTTCTTCTAATTTTTAGATACAGGGACTAGAATGAAAAGGTAGTAGAAGTATATGAACCAATTGATTGGTTAATTGTTTTAGAAATTTCTTTTTGAAGTTGTATTATTATTATTATTATAAGTTGCATAAAAAAACAAAAGAAATATACACCGGCGAGATCGGAAAGTCCTCTCAGCCTCAGTGGTTTGCTCCCCATTCATATACTCACTTACCAGAAAACAATCTCATCAGTCAGGACGTACTCAGGAGCAGAAACAGTATGCCACACCGTTAATGTTAACCTCCCCATCTCAATTAAATAAATAAAAATACAAAAATTCGAGCATCTGAATTCTGAAGTAACCCTTTAGCTGTTTACTTTACAACTTACATCCCAATATCACTGTTGATGCAACACCCATATATCATTGCCAGCTACCAACTCTCTGTGAATGCTCACAAATCACAATTTAAGGTTTTACAACAAACCCTTTCACCTACCTATCAATATCATTGTCTCCCACTCCTAAATTTTCTCTATAAAACTCATCTCCACCATTTCATCAATGCATCAAGTGCCATTGCCAATACATATCCTATCATTTCCATTCCTTTCCAATATCATCTAAACCTTCGGTAAACAAAATGAAGAAGCAATCTCTCTTGTCCTTCCCACTAGTACTGCTACTTTCATTTTTGTATTGCACCACCACTTTAGCCCAATTATCACCAGCTTCTGCTCCCCTAAAACCACCCCAACCTAGCCCTACCCCACCAGCTGAAGCTCCTAAGCAACCATTGGTTCCTTCCTTACCACAATCACCAAGTGATTCAGCCCCGGACACTGCAGCTCTTGACGTAGTTGGAATCCTGAGGAAGGCTAAGTCATTCAACATCTTAATCCGTCTCATGAAAACCACCCAATTGATCAACCAACTCAATGCACAGCTCCTCACTACTAAATCTGGTGGCATCACCATTCTCGCACCTGATGATAGTGCCTTCTCAGAACTCAAAGCAGGCTTCCTCAACTCTCTTTCTGATGGACAAAAACTCGAGCTCTTACAATTCCACGTTATTTCAGACTATGTATCTAGTTCTAACTTTGATACTCTTACAAATCCTGTGAGAACACTTGCAGGAGCTAAACCTGGAAAGGTGGAACTGAATGTGATAAGCTACGGTGGGAGTGTGAACATATCAACAGGTGAGGTTAACACAACCATCACTGGCATTATATATACGGATAAACATCTTGCTATATATAAGGTGGGAAAGGTGCTTCTTCCAATGGACTTCTTTGCTGTTGCTAAGGCACCTGCAAAGGGACCTTCATTGGCTCCACAACCTTCAAGTGATGCGGCAAAGGCGCCAAAAGCTGATAAGGATGAATCATCATCTACGGATTCGTCACAGGTTAATGCCACTGAACAGAACTCAGGGACCGAGAAGATCAACGTGTTTGGAAAGTGGGTGTCCCTTGTTGTTGGACTAGTTCTCGTGAGTGTAATGACAACATAAACCAGAATAAGATCTGAATTTTCCAACGTCCTAGCTTGTAGCTACCATGCTATTAATACCAAGAGTGTTACGATGTGTTACGTAATTGCGATAAAGAAGTGAAAATTATTGATGAATTTATCTAACTGGGATTGTATCTATGCTTAATTTTATCTTTTTAACAGCTTCTATGCATTTATAGAAATCATTTACTATATATTTATAGTTTCATTCAATTTTCGCGTATCGTATAACTTTTTTTATTTATTTATTTTATTTTAAATTTTTGGAAAATAATTAGTACCTCATTGTCACTTAATAAGTACTGTAAGAAAAAATAAATTCTAAAAATATGTTTCAAACAACAAAAAAAAGTTAGTTTTGGAAAATTATATTTTTAATCCATTTATTAATTTTTTTATATGTTTAAAATAATTTAAGTCAACTTATTATATAGAGCATAAGGAGTAAAATTTGGGTTTGTGTTGTAAGGAATTAGCATGATGATAAATATTAAATATATCTGGACCATGTAATAACATCTTTTATGTAAGACCTCATCATCCCAATTTCTAATTAAACAAAATTACTATATCATCTAATTATATTTTTGTAAATATTTTTATTATTATGTAAAGTAGGTACTAAATGAAAGAATGAATGTATTTAATGTGTTAAAATATAAAATATATCTAATTCATTTTTCATTTAACAAGAAGATTATTCAAAGACAAAATTAAGAATCAATCAATCAAGCATAAATGAAATTTATATCGGTTTTTCAATTTAATTAGCGATCATCTCAAGCCACATTTTTTAGTTTAGTGGTCGTAAAGTTTTGAGACATGAAAAGTCGATCTAATATTCATAAAATCAATTTTAATTAATATTAAAATAATATTTAATCAATAATAATTATACTAATAATTTTAAATAAATTTTTTATTATCAATTTTGAGACAATATATTAATATGTTCATAAAAAATTTTAATAATTGTCTAAAATTCAAATTCTGTGTTGGCTGTTGCATTAAATATATAATGGTGGAGAGATTCATTGTGTACAGTAATTTGACCTTATTGAAACAGTATAGGGAGTATGTAAGTTATCCATTCTAATTACTTCCTTGTACAATTAAACCAAACTTCTTTTGATTTCCCGTGTATGAAAAAAAAATAAAAATAGCTTACCTCATGACAACGTGATTAGCAATTTGGGAAACGGACCCCACCGGCTTCTAAACTCTATTACTTGATTAATCTTTTGATCTATCATCACAGTTGCTTCTACTGTAACTATATCCCGCCACTATGGCCGCCACCACCACCAACTAGGAATGGCAACGGGCAGGTTTGGTACGGGTTTCAAGATATCCGTCCCCGTCCTCGTGAGTTCAACCCATTCCCATCCCTGTCTCCATACCCGACGGGTATAGATTTTCATCCTCATTCCCGTTCCTGTTGGGTATCGGGTATACCGTCAATTTTTTTATTTTTTATTTTTTGTAAAAAATGATATTTTTAATTTTTATTTATTTATTATATTATAATTATAATTAGGTTATTTGTTTATCTCATATTATAATAAATAATCACAAATAAAAAATATTAAATTTTTTTAATATAATTAAATT